TTTAATTGCAGATATTTTCTAAATCGCCCACCGAAATCGAGCCATAAATCTGTGGTGTTGCAACGATCGATGGGCAAGACATCCACCAGAAGTGGTAACCCATGTCAATTTTTTTGTTTAACTGCAACGTGGTAGTCATCTTGTATTGGTATTAATGTAGATCGTTTTGAAAAAAAATTACGTCGTGATATATACATCGTTATTGACTGATGATGTTTGTGTTTGAGGAGGATTCACGTAGTCGCAAGAGGAGGGTTCACGTATTCTGACCAGAGTTGTTTTATATGAGTATCGTAGTTGGTTTACGCAGTAATCGAAATAAATATTTGGTGTGGTCGAATTGATGAAGTTGAAACTGATTGATAGTTGTTTTGTTTGTTTACAGCAGTCGATTTTAATGTATTATGTAGTACATTGAAATGTATTTGGTAGTCTATTTAATCAATTATCGTAATTCGAGGCACATGATGATTTATTATGAACGAATAGGCTTCAACATGTGTTGGTTTTGTTTGTATGTCGAGAATAACGGGTCGCCTCAAGTTCGTAATAATAATGAAGTTGTTGTTTCTGATGATGCTGGAACAGAGGGTGGGGGTGAACTAGTTGGAGCTGTTGATGCCACTGGAAGTGAGGCATTGAATGCAGGCGTTGTGCAGTTATCCGACGAAGAAGTCAATTGCATTCCTGATGATAGCGACGAGGACATAAACTCAATGAATTCAATTGATTCTGATGGTTGTTATTTTCCAAACCCCCTAAGATTTGATATGTTTAATTAATTTTGTGTTTACGATGTAATGGTTCGGTAACTTCAGTTAAGTGTTAAACAGTTGTAATACATTAGTATATTATAATGAATACCGTATGATACTACCATTATCATTTTATTATACTATTATAAGATTATTAATGTACTAGAGTTTTTTAACTCGACATATTGGTTTGATTGTGTTATGATGTGTTTTAAGTATTTTATTGGTTATGTTGGAATTACTTTACGTTGGTTTTGTTCTCAATGTTCTTGTCATTTCAGTTGTATATTGTTTGTAACACAATTTCATACTAATATTATAACCGTAATATACTATCATAGCAGATTAATGTACTATATTAAAATCATTAATATACTATGTGGTTGAAAAATAAAGTTGTGTGTTATATGAAATTTTTATGTATACCAATGTAAAATCATAATTGTGATGAGATTATCTCATCGATTGCAGTAATATGTTATTAATCACATGTTTGTTTTTTGATGTGTCGAAAGTGTTGCAGACAATGTTAACATCAATACGATCCAATGAAAGCTCTGACAACATTTCAAACATCGACATCATGTCCTCGTAGTCAGCCAAAATACATTCACCAATGTCATCCAGCCTATATGTCATGCTTATATCCTATCCATCGAGTTGTGGCCACTTTGAAATAGCAAATGCAACCAATGAACCGCGAGAAAACCCATTCGAACACCTCTTTATAGCAACCAACCCACCTAACCTCAACAAAATCCGTACGAAATTAGCCATCTAAAAAAACCTAAAATCATCAAATGAACTTCAAAATGCAGAATACGAAAAATTGATTAAATAGACTACCAAATACATTTCAATGACAAAAAATTAACATCATCAAATGAACTTAAAAAATGCATAATCCAAATAATCGATTAAAATAGACTATGAAATATATTTCAATGTACTACCGAATACATTAAATTCGATTGCTGTAAACAAACAAAACAACTATCAATCAAGTTCAACTTCATCAACTCGACCACACCAAATATTTATTTCGATTACTGCGTAAACCAACTACGGCACTCATATGAAATAACTCTGGTCAGACTACGTGAACCCTCCTCTTGCGACTACGTGAATCCTACTCCAAGACAAACATCACCAAACAAAAATAACGATGTATATGTGACGACGCAATTTTTTTTAAAAACGATCTACTTTGATACCAATTGAATCAACATATTAACACAAATCTTATAATGGCTAACCACCATAACACAACAACACTTGCACATGAGAGCGACAAAAAAAACGAACAATAACTGTTCATATTCACGTAATGATGAAAACGATGAAAACGCTCAGATCCGAAAATACTACGACGCCGGTGAAAAATTCTTCGTAGCCCGATTGTACACGATTTGATAATGATGATAACGATGAAACCACCAATATACTCACATGATTTTAATCCGTGATTATAGGCAATGTATCAGCAATCCCATATCACGTCGATAAGGAAAAAACTGCCGTCCAAAAATAAAATAGGGGTATTCTAGGGAAATTAAATAATTTATTGTGCAAAGTTGGCATAATTTGGTGTATCTGAAAAAGGAAAAAATCAAATGGATCTGCCTCATTACAAAATCTCAACAAGGGGGTATCCCTAATAAATCCAATTGGTAATTATGTTTGGTATGAATTTCACTTTCCCGCCTTGTACTTTGGTTTGGTATAACTTCACCCAATTCTACTCTTGATTGTATCGATTTATCCCATTGTACTTGAAAAATTGTCTCAACGTGGTCCACATTGTTAGTTGTCAAACATTTAACCTTATCACCGTTTAGTCTAAGCTCTAAAATTACAAAAATATCACCCCTCCCAATTTAAATAATTATTAAAAATATAAAAAAATTCAAGACCACAAGAAATCATAGTCCACGACGGCAGCCATAATTAATTTTTTTTTATAATTATTTAAACTGTGAGGAGTGGTTTTTTTGTAATTTTCAGACTTAGATCAAACGGTGTTAAGGTCAAAGATTTGAAAACTCGGCGAGGACGACATTGAGACAATTTTTCAAGTACAGGGGCCAAATCGATGCAATCGAATGTAGAAGGGGATAAAGTGATATGGAGTCAAAGTAAAGTGGAGAAAGTGGAATTTAGCCTTATGTTTGTATCAGAGTATTAGACGTAACAAAAAGAAAAAATAAAAAAATAAAAAAAAATAAAGTGTTTGTACTAGGAAAGAAGTTCACCGACTTAGGTATTAGTATTATTTTATAAGTAGGATTTATTTCTTTATTTATTTTATTTTTTCTTAATATTTTATATAAGTAGGATTCTTAACCCCCAAAGCAGAACAAAAAAATCCTTCGTTTCTTCTTTCAGCCGTCGCGATGGACGAAAGCAAGGAGAAACTGCCGTACGACGTCGTCGAAATCATCCTCTCTCGACTGCCGTCGAAATCTCTCTTGAGATTCAAATCCGTATGCAAGTCATGGAACTCCACAATCTCCGGCGAAAGATTCGCCGGAGTTCATCTCCGGCAATCCCGACAGAGCTCCGGAAACCAAGACATATTCTTCTGGTGCGAGAACCAAGGCTGGAAATACGAATCCCAAGTAAGGGTCACCAAAATACCTCAACATATAAATACAAAGATGAAACTTGAAAAATTGGAGCACGAACAAAAACTCGATCCGAGCGTGTTGTGCTATTGCGACGGTTTAGCTCTTCGTCGATACGGCAAACGTCTCCACAACCAGTATGTGCTATGCAATCTATCCACCGGGGCCCACGTCGAGTTCTACTGCCCTTACGACGAGATATTATACGACTCTCATCAAACGGTTTACGCAATCTGCTACGATCCGTCTATTAATGACTACAAGGTGATAATTATCGACTACATGCGCTACGCAGTTTACTACTGTCGAGCCATGCGGTGGAGCGAGATTAGAGAAACCCCAAAAGAATTTTCGGGCGGCGGATTGTTTGTTGGCAAAAGCGTCTCTTTGAACGGCGACTTGTATTTTATCGTCGAAACCATGGAAGACTACGGTTTTAGGATCAAGATAGTCGGGTTCGATTCGGTCAACGAAAAGTTCACGAGATTTCCCGAGCTGACGTATCGGAGAAAAGATAGCTTGTTCGTGTACATGACTTGTGTGGGGGGCTATCTTTATGTGTGCTTCAACAACAGCCGTTGTCAGATGATCAAAGTCGGAGGCGGCGCAGAAAAAGAGGAAGAGTTGAATTGGGTCGATTTAAACGGTACGCCACCGAATTCCGAGCGCGTCGAGTTTGATATGGCTTCGAATGTTCAAGAAGATGTGAATATACTTTGCTTCGCTGACAACCGCGTTTATGGTATTAAAACGGGTTATCAGCGAATCCCGTATCTGGAAAATCTGTTTATCAGCGAACCGAAAAAAGTGATCAAGTAAGGGTGGTAAGAAAATCATCACCAGTTGTTGATGATTGATTAATCTTCAGAATTAATGTGGTTTTGTTATACATATATAGGATATTGAATTTAGATTTTTTTTTTATATTTAATTAAATTTAGATGTTAATTTAGATTTCAGCCTATAATTGATTAGGTATTGGTTTTGCTTTTATGCAAACTCAAATTGATATCTTTATGTTTTTTTCTTCCAAATTAAAAATTTATTTATCTTGCCATTTTATTTTATATATATGATTAATATATTATATGATTCACTAAATTGATCTATTTAAGGCTTCATGATAATATTATCATTATTTAAAAAATAATTATTATTTACTACTGAGGAAAATTGGAAACAAAAAAATCCAGTTCGGCCTATTTTGATTTGAATTTGGAATTGGAATATATATTAGGTTCTGATTTTTCATTCTAATGTTAATTCTATTTGTTCTTCCGAAAATTATATTTATAATATTAATAATCTATGTATTTTATATCATATGCGAGAAAAAAGAATTTCCAAAACTTCGATGAACGATTTTCAGATTTTTTTTTTAACGTAGTTGGAATTTGTTTTTCACTTCTGCGAAAAAATTGGAACTTTTCCAAAAGTGCTAACTTCGATTTGATCATTCCGATTTTCTTCCGTATCATTAACTAAATTAATCAACATAGATATTTTAATTTCTATTAAAAATTAAAAAGTTCTTATATAATTTAATGAACTTGTATTATTTAATATAATATATAGCCCAAATAACTAAACCTTCATAGTTTTCTTTCAAAAAAAAAAAAAAAAAAAAAAAAACATATGTTACATTAAATTATGTTATGGATTGAACTCTCAAATAAAAATTTCAATTTAATATTCGCCAAACTATATAAAAAGTCAATTAAGTGCAAGTCTTGAGGATCAGTTGCCACAATCACAATTTATTTACCTTCCTATTAACATGGCTATTACTATGTTTTTTTTGCCATATAACTCATCCCACATAATTAACAAAAAAATTAATCAAATTAAAAAAAAATTAAAAAAAAAATTAAAAAAGATTAAATCAAAAAGAAGATGAAGAGAGAGAGAGATTTCGAAGATGAAAGCTCCCAATTTGATCCAAACACAACCTTTGGCACTCGCTCTAAAAATTCTTTCTCCACCACCATTAATAACAACAACAACAACAACAACAACAACAACAACAACAACAACAACAACAACAACGACGACAGTAATATAATCCCGATTCCCAATAATCCCACTAAAAGCACGACAATTATCGAAGACGACGAAAACAACAACAGCAACAACAGCAACAGCAACAACAACAACAATAATAAAGAGCAAGACCGTTTCCTCCCGATAGCCAATGTGGGCCGGATCATGAAAAAGGTCATCCCCGGAAACGGGAAAATCTCGAAAGACGCAAAGGAGACCGTCCAGGAATGCGTGTCGGAGTTCATTAGCTTCGTTACGGGCGAGGCGTCGGAGAAATGCCAGCGCGAGAAGAGGAAGACGATCAACGGCGACGATGTTCTTTGGGCGATCATGACCCTCGGTTTCGAAGACTACGTCAACCCGCTCAAGCTATACCTCGCGAAGTACCGCGAGATCGAAGGGGAGAAACTCAACGTACCGAAACAACAACGCATGGAGCAACAACAACAACAACAACCGATGCAGCACGACCCGCAAAAGACGTATAGTTCGACAAATATGATGTCGCAACAATCGTTCTCATCGGGCGGCGATCCGTCTTTCCCGTTGCCTTTCTCGCAAAATTCTTTGCCTCCTCACGCTTTCGACCCGAATTGGTAACGAAAAATAAATGAATATGATTTTTTTATTTTTTACTTTTTTGTTGAGTTATGTAATATAGTCCATAATCGATTCTTTATTTACTTTTTCCCCATAAATTAAGACATACCAAATTCTTGGCGTATGCTTTTTTTATTTTTTTTATTTTTTTTCTTGGTTTAATAACAAAAGTAGCTTTTTTAGAAGTTTGGTGATTATATCCACTGGGCCTTTTGGGTCCAAAAGACATAATATAATTGATAATTCTCCTCTTTCTTTCTTTCTTTTTTTTTTTTTTGTTTTTTAATTTGAAATATTTTGTTTTGTTGTTTGTACGAGAAAATATTTTGAGTTGCCCTAATTGATCATTAGGGCCTGATGATTTTTTTTGTAGATTGGCCCATTAAAACTAAAATACTCTAGTTTATAGTTCATTGTTACTATGTCTTGGTTATGACTTAATTGCTTTGATTTTATTTGAATGTGTATATATTATATATAAAGTATATATAAAACTACTCAACGATAATAGCATCTTTGTGATTATTTTTATTTTATTTTATTTTTCTAATTTCCTAATTTTTTTATCATTCTTATTTAATTGGAACACTTTTCTCTAATATTATGGTAACCCGAAACAACTCTAATGATATTTTTCCAACTGTTTTTGTTATTTTTTTTCTCTACAAATTTTCTAATTATTTTTCTTTCTTATCTTCATCGAACGATTTTCTCTACTAATTTTCTAATTAATTTTTTTCTCTTCCTTATCTCAATGGAACAATTTGCCGATTTCTTTGTTAATGACATCTTTGTAATTATTAATTTATTTTATAATTAATAAATTTTATTATAATAGTTTTAATATATTTCTTACTATATTTATTATTGTCATGTATTAAATTAACAATTTTTTCACTTTAAAAATATTATCACCGAGAATAATACTAGTTAAATATATTAAATATAGGCACATAGTCATCTTATAGTTGCGAAAGCGTAACGCCCGTCAAATATTCCCTTAGAAATAGCATTGGATGTTCGTATCTCACTGGTTTTGTAGAACTTACACCTGATAAAATGCATCATATAGTTTTAAAACCGTAGATTTACCCATAATTAATAACACGCACATATGTATATGTGTTGAGTGCATAAATATTTATATAGATCTACGGTTTAAAACCACATAATATATTTCACCAGGTGTAGCATCTCATAAGTCGTATCTCACTCGCCGAACGCTTTTTTTGAGTTAAGAAACGCCCCCACTCCTTTATTTCTTAATAACACTTCATGGTATGAACGTAAATAAGAAATAAAAAAAATAGAAGGGCATCATAGACATTTACCTTTCTGTGTTAATGGAATTTGCAGAAGCTACCCTGTTCAAAATCAGAAGGAGGTCATGTGTCTATATATATTGATACTATAAGAAGCAGGGGCAACCCATAATTTTTTTACGGCAGGGGCTAGAATATAGAGTGATTTAAGAAAAGGAAAAAAAACCATTTTTTTTTAAATTAAAAGTGCACAAAAATAAATTTTGGGGTAAGTGGACGAAAGTACATAAATTAATAGATAAATACTCAATTAAAATAAAAAGATCATAAGTTGTTAAAAAATTCAGCGGGGACAGGGGCCATCTCGAGTCTCTTACTGGGTCCTTCCCTAAGATTACATGCAAAATCGTGAAATCATAAGGGAGTTAAGTGCAATAATCAAACTTTTTTTTTTTTTATTCTATGGAGTTGTATTTAAGATTTTGAGGATTAAAGAATGCTTAAACCCATGACAATATGTAAAAAATTCTTATCGAACTCGGCATTAATTGTGATCGAGTCTCGATCATAAAACAAATTGTGTCTTAATACGTTATTTGATTTTAATCTACGGACATACGGACTTTTTTAGTTCATGTAACCTAGTCGAGTTTATAATCATGTCGAACGAAAATATAATATCATTGATTAAGATATTAATTTTTTTTATTAATATATTGAGATATTTTAAGACATTAAAATTGGGAGAAAAGTAAGGAAAAATCAAAAAATTCAAAAGCATTATTAATAATGGTTTAGAAAACATGGACCCTTTAATTAAGTTCCACAAAATGCGGATGGTGACGTTGCTAGTAGAATTGGAGCAGCTCGCATATGCACACCCGGCCTTTGTTTCAAAATTCTGCAACAAAAATTCACAATGGCACGAGGGAGGCCACGTGGGTATGTAGGGTTTTTAATTATATTATACTTTCCTTGCTGTTTTTAATTTGACCCCAATAATTATTCTCGACTCTTATCCATCAATGTCTCGTTTGGTTGTCAAGATAACACAAAATTAAATAATCTAGTGAAAATTCATTATTTAATCAGACTCACACATCGAACAAAGCACTTTTCTGTAAGCCAACATAAGTTTTAATAACATAATATTTACTGGTCGACCCGACAAGTTATTGGGTTTGAGGTTACCAAATATCAAATAAAATCTTATTATTTAGCTAATCATGACTAATCTCCCAAGTCAAACGGTCAAGACAAGGTAGCACGTTGGTAAGCACATTGCACCTAGAACTACACTAGAACATCGATAAGTGAATACTCTTATTTAAATAATAATTTCTCCCTGTCCCGGCTCGATGAAAAAATAGTAAATTATTAGTTCGATAATTTAATATTTTGCTAAATTAATAGATTTTTGTTAGTAGGTTCACTATAAAAAAAATATTTTGAGTGACAACTCTTACTTTTCACATAGTTAGGCAAAAAGTGTTGTCACTATGCTTGTCATTAACGGGTGTCGCTAATGCTCTATAGTGACAATAAATAAGGATTAAGTGACAACAAAAAGAGCTATTAGTGACAATAAAAAAGATGATGTCACTTAATGTGTGCACTAAGTGACAACTTTTGCATTTATCACAATTGGAGTGTCGCTAATGCAACTTTTTCTTGTAGTACATAGACTCGAGACACTAGGAGGGTAATTGGGAAACCAATAATTATCCTTATTTTTAAAAGAAAAAAACAAATCACCCCAACCAAACGAGCTCCGATTATTTCAAATAATATATAATGTCGTCTCGTAGTTGTCCGTGGGGGTGGGTCGGGGGGGAGGGAGGGGGGGGGGGGGGGGGGAAGGGGTCCCTTTAAAATAATTAAGAAGCCGGGCTTTTTTTCAACAAAAAAAAAAACCCCCCTGGGAAAAATTGAACCTGGGGGGCTCTTCCCCAATTGAAAAAAAAAAAAAAAAAAGAGTTGGAAGCCCTTGGAAGAAGGGTCCCAATTTAAATTAATTAGCAAAAAAAGGGTTTGGCCTTTGTTTTGGCGGTTAAAAAATGGGCAAGGTGCAAAAATTAAAATAACAACTTTGCCCATTGATGGTTGCCTTAAGGGAAGGGGGGGCCGGGGGGCCCTAACCCAAAATGTTTTATAAACCCCAGGTGGGATCACTACCAAAAACGGGCTTTTGTA